GCAGTATTTTTCCTTTGGTAGTGGGTAAACCATGGCTTTTAGAGTTGGAAGCATATATCTTTAGTTCTTGTTCTAACCCTATCTAAATGGGCGAATTGGCCCAATAGTACATTACTAAATCTTAGTTTTCTCATCTGGAAAAATAGAATAAACTTATTGCTACCAGTTGGAGTTTTTGAGAATGTGCATGAAAGAATTATATACTCTATGAAGTCCCTTAGAAACATTATTCACTTACTGTGCTGAAGCAGTAACGAGCAATTCCTACATTATTCATTACTTCATCCGTTACCAACTGTTTGCTCAGTGCTTATGTGTGCTCACTTTGGCACATTTTTAGGCTAATCTGTTTTGGCCCTTCCAGTGAAAACATACATGCATCTTTTCATCTCTGTGTGTTTATTATGTGGAGGAGTGGTGTACAAAGTCATAGAGATTCTGTTAGAAAGGTCACATCCTCCCTCGCACTCCATTGCATCAGATGCTGTCTCCTGTGCATGAATACAGAGCCTCACAACATATGTCTGCAAAATTGCTTCAGGTGAGCCTGATACTCTCCTGATTTAGAATCATGGGGATGAATTACTGCTATGCTCAGTAAAAGTGATTTCCTGTGGGGTGACAATTCCCTAGCTTGGCAATAGTGTGGACAGACAGCACTGAGTAGGACCTCTGTCTTAAAGCTTATGTCCAAAAGATACAAAAAGAAATCAGGATTGGCAATATTGTTGTAAGAAAGTTGTTGAGCCCCAGGACCCAGCCTGGTCATTCCATGAATCACTGTTGATTTCCTGTTCTTCTACAGTCTCTGTCCAAAATGAGGACTGTGTGCTTGTGTCAAGACAAAAAAAAATGACTATTATGCCTAAACAGAAAGCTTACAGCCAAAGGAAAATCTGTACCCACTGACTGCTTCTGTACTGGTATTAGAAGTAATATATTAAATAAAGGAAAAGATCAAGCCCAGGATCCTAGGCAAAGTATGCAGAGGATTAATATTTATTTAGTGAAAAATGATAATGATAGATAAATGAATATACTCATCTATTATGCATATAACAAATATTAAACATTGTAAATGTGTCTGGACTATCTTCCTTGCATTTAGACGGCATGGCTAGTAATACATAATTGAGGTCATTATGTAGACAAATGCAGCAGACAATGTGCTAAAGCAGACATTTTAATCATGTTCAACCTCTGGTAATGTTGATTTTCATCGTTTCTGAAGGCCCCGTGTATGCGGAGCCTCTTTTGACATTCATTCTTTTTATGCAATACATTCAGCAAGTATCAGATGCTTAGAAAAAAAATTGAGCAGATGCAACTTACTTGAACTGAGGAACAGGTAAGCAGATAATTATAAAATGTGATGATAAAGCTATGAAAGGTCTCAAAGCTTGTAATGAAAGCTCAGGGAAGTGGCATCTTACTCAAAATTTGAGATAATGAAAACTTCTTATGTATTTGCTTTTATTTGAAAGGCAAATTACAGACAAAAGGAGAGATAAAAAAGATTTTTCATCCTCTGGTTCACTCCCCAAATTGCCCCAAAGGCCACTAAGCTTATCTGAAGCTGAAAGCCTGAAGCTTCTTCTGGGTCTGCCAGGTAAGCAGATGTGGGGTCCCAAGGACTTGGTCATCCTCTGTTGCTCTCTCAGGTCCTAGCCAAGGAGCTGGGTGGAAAGTGGAGCAGCAGGGAGACTACTACACAATGGCATTCCTGCTCCAGTACTGCACTGGTCCTAGGACTACTTTTTAAAGGCAGCGATGCTAGATACTTTTATCATGCTTCTGTTAGGACTTAATTGTGTATATCATTTGATATTTTTCTCTGATTTTTAAAAACTATTTATTGAGCAAAAGTTGCACTCTAAGTTAGTGAGGTAACTAAACACTTCTCAAATAAGATTTAGGATCCTCCCTCAAATATCTTACAACTGAATTCTGAAAAATCAAAGAGAGATGAGTGGATAGAGAGATGGACAGACAAGTTCATGAGTAGGTACTTTTGGAAGATACTCTTAATACAAATAAATGATAAAGGTCAAGTGAAGTGCATTAAAATATGGTTTTATTAAAAGAATGATATATAAGTCATACGTTGCTGAACAATAGGGGTATTAATTTCATTATGATGTGTATATCGTACAGCTACATACATGAACTAAGCTACTAAAGAGAGTCATTTACATAAATGTTGGAGCATCATTGTGTAATGCAGTTCAAAGTTGACCAAAACTCCACTGTGTAATATATGACTGTATATAATTGTGACTGGGATAGTCTGCATTCAAAGAAAACTTGGAGGGAGGCCAGAATAGAAAGATCTTAGCTTTCCTTGAAATATAAGATATAATTAGATTTAAAACAAAGTGACTGAGACTTCCTGGGCTAGGAAAATGAGTCTATTTAAGTTGAGAAGACAGAATGAGACAGGCAATGGGGACATCAGACACCTAGGCTTAGTTCAGAAGTATATATGGCAGAAGAGTTGGGGTGTGGAATATAGATGTGTAAAAGGAAATGTGTAGCCAAGAAGTTCAGTCTCAAGAAACCAGATCTGAACATGGTGCTTTCCGTGGAATGACTCAGGATAATGAATTTGTCAGAAGTATGCATGAAGAATGAGAGAAGGGTATTCCTGGAAAGAAATCAATTAGCAGATGATTAAAATAGATCAGACATGGTTAATAATGATGAGGATAATGGCAGTGGTTACATAAAGAATGAGTGGGAAGGACATCTGGAGGGAGAAACTTAGCAGGCCTCGGTGACTTGACAAGTCAATGCACCCAAGAAGGGAACCAGGGAGCCAAAGACTGGAAACATTTTCTGAGGATTTATTTTAGTGATGTCTATTAAAAACGAGGCAGTTGGAAAGGCTTGTAGTGCCAGGTGATTTCTTTCCTTATCATGTATGCTGTTGTTTCCCTGAAGAGGTACATTGGAAAGAAGCCTCATATTTCATGTGGGAACACTAAAAAGGAAGAGCACAGATCTGCACTGTCAAAACTTCTCACTAATCTCAGTTATTCAAAAGATAGAAATAGGCAAGTGCTTCATTTTATTTCTTTGATTCTCTGTCAACTGCAGAATACTATTTCTTTTTAAGGCAGTTTATTTAATTCTTACCATGTGTTAGAAAATACCATTCCTGCCTGCACTTGACATTGGAAGGAACTGAGGCACAGACAAGTAAATTAGTGGCATACACATTTATGAAAAGCTAACTTCAAAATATTTGTGGAAAAATGTATGTAGTCACTATAGGCAATTTGTTTGATATTTCCAGATGAGGATCCATGAATAGTTTCATTCTTGCAGTCTTAAACTAGACTCATCAGGAGTTAAAAGACAAGACTTATGCAGGATTCCAGATTATAACAATACATTCTAGTGTGTATAAAATAATAGATATGTCACACTCCTATAGTATTTATTCCAACTTGAATCTGAAAAAGATGAAATTTTATAGCTATGTAGAAAAATCACAAAAACCATGATTGGATAGGTTTTGTATCTGAGTTTCCTTTTTTAAACATTGTTTTTACTAATGTAAAGAGAAGAGATTATGTGTATTTCCTAGGTATAGTTCCCCGATCACAACCGTGTTATCCCTTCATTACCTTCTCCCAACCTCAGACCTCCTCCTTCCATCCTTTTTTTAAATTATTTTTACCAAGACATGCTTTCAATCTATATAAACACAGGGTTAATTATTTATAAAATTGGCAGGTTTTTATTTGCTGTGCTTACATTAAAGGGTGCTATGATATAATCCTACATTGCTCTTTAAGTTACCTGTCAACTGGCAATAAATTTTGTGCTTCTTTGGGACATGATTTCTCTGTTTTAGATTTTCAAAGCAAATCCACCATTTCATTTACTATGGCTGTCTCCTCTGGCAAAGTTTACTTCCTGAAAAAGGAAGTTGTATTGTGAAAGTCTGTGGGCTGCTATGATGTGTATTTCTATCCTTTACCATTGGAACTTGTTTAAAATTATTTTTACTAGTATTCCATGACACAATTTTGTGAGTATAGGGATTCCCTTCTTTCCTTCTCCATTTTCCCTTCTTATTTCCCCTATTGCAACTTAATACAAATTGGTCTTTCTTTTTAATTTGGCTTGAGTGAATTAAAAATGAAGAAAAATTTTAAGATGTATTTGATTATACTTGTTATTAATAATGGAAAACAGCTGATAAACTTCAAGGACTAGAGGATACAGAAAATTGGCGGGGTAATGAAAGGCTTTTTCGTGTTGTACCTTTGATTTTTGTGACTCTCCCTTTTAATGCCAGGCTCGAGAGCTATTTCTACCATATGTCATCATTTGAAGCATCTACAGTGTTAAAATATGTGGACCAGTCCTCTGAAATGTTATTTGCAATGATACTCTAGGCCATATGTAGGAGAAACGTTCAGATTTGTAAAAATGTGTGACCTCTATTGCGGTGCCTATGTCTGTATATAGAAACATAAATTTTGGTTATTTAAAATTTAAGATTAGAGAGCATGCAATTTGTTACTTCCAGCAAGGTGGAATTTCAGGTACCACTCTACTATCCATAGCACCTGGCACTAAACCTTCAAAGGATGCTAATATATCATGTTGCTTAGTTGGAGTACAAGAGGCCCATGCTCTTTGTCTCCTTCTACTTCATAGCCAAACAGCCTTCTTCACCTTCTTCCTTCTGTTTGTGACATTTCCATCCTCCCAGCCTCCCGGATGGAAAACCCCTGAGTCATTTTTAACTTCTCACTTGTTTGTGCTCCCCACAAGTAATCAGTCACCATGTCCTGTCAAGTCCAATTCCTCATCGCCTCTCACATCTGCTCCTTCTGTCAGTTCTCACTGACATTCTCTTATTTCAGGCTTCTTACTTCTCTTATTTCAAGCGCGCCTTCTTTTACATGAAGTTAAAAAACCTAATTAGCCTTTTAGTCTCCTATTCTTTTGACAGTCAAATTTGTCCTACCTTGCTTTGGTTGTAGTGTCTGCTTTCCCAGAGGACTTCAAGCCCAACAGGCAGGCAGAAATTTCAAGCCTAGCACTATCCAATGCCTAGCTCTCTTATCTCCCATGATGCCGTTTCGGACAATGTATTTTGTGAAAATACAATCTTTTCTACTCATTTAAAATGCCCTCCTCTCCTTTTTTCAGTCTAAGCTTTTCCCTCCTCTACATTCCAGGATCTGGTTTAAATACCTCCCCTCCATCTCTACCAATTATAATCCTGTCTGTGGCTCATGATTCTTATCACATGTGGTTTTTCCCCAGAAAGAAAACTGACCTGTTCAACTCTCCCAACAAAATGTCTTCCTCCAAGAGCTTTGATTACATTTGTCTTATCAAGAGTACATGACATGTTTTACCTCATCTTTCTGTATTTCTCACGTTGGTTATCAATCCTGAATTTTCCTTCAATTCTTTATTGTTTTCCTAATTCTTGAAAGAGTCAATATTTATTAAATGGAATTAGAAAAGTGAAACCCCCTGAAACTTGCCTGTGCTCTTGGGCCTGCAATATGTCTCTGTCTTTGTTTCAGATACTACATTTAAAGATTCAGTAGTCCTGGGAGAGGCCCAGTGAACTGTGACTGGAATATAAGAACTTTTGTTGTTTTCTACAAAAATTTGATTTTTCTTTCAACGTTGTCTTGGAGATTGTGATTTTTTCTTCTTTTCAGAAAACTTCAACTTTTAAAGCCAGTCTGGCTAATTCTAGCTATAAGTAAATTAGTTATTGGATGTGGCTGACGGGAGACTCATTTGCATTTTCACAGTGTTTTACTTGCATGCCAAAACTCATAAAATTTAACTTATACTTATTGGTTAATTGTAAATCACTATAGTAGATTGCTTTAGCAGCCATAACCAGACTGTGTTAGAGATAAGGCCATTGTGTGACTTATATAGCATTGAATATCTATGATATAGCCATGTCTCAGCCTGAGAAGTCCAGAGGACTTAAGACACACCCGTGCCTTCTGAAACATTAAATAATTTTTGAGCAAGACGGAGGAAAACACATAAGAGGAAATAGGAGGTAACAGTTGTGGGCATGTCCAGGGGAATTTTTAGCCAATGCTAAAAGGATGATCTTTAAGGGAGTAGGAGAGAAACAGGCATATACTGTACTGTTGGATCTAGAGCATAAGATATATCATGTGCAACTGCCTGTATAGAAGCTACAAACCCACAGGCTCCTTGCAAGATGGGTGGGAAATGCAGAGATATGAACCAGGATTTTTGTTCAGGAATTAATAGATTAGAAAGCCTTTCTTGTATGAAACTTTGGCTCATTTTCTGCCCACAGAGAAAATATTTGTAATTCTACTTATTTTTGCTTTGTAAAAACAAACTAATTACCAGGAAGGATGAAGTTTTCACTGAGGCCTTTAATTCCTATTGCTCCTTTTATTTCATTGTGTAGGGCCAAGCAGGGCACTCTAAGTTGACTCCTGCATATTGAGACTGTCATACCTGTTCATCTATATTTATCCATTGATCTACTCATATGTATCATATAGAGGCTGATGAAGGTTATATAAATCAAATGCATAATCCCTTCCCTCCCCCTGAGGATGAGTGTATCTATACTCCCACCCTCCCCTATCCTTCACAAATACACTTTCAACTCCACTAGTATACACCTGTAGTTCACAAATACACACATAGTCAATATTAGCTTGTGAGATGAACTGCTAGATTTTCAGACATTTCACACTAGCCATTTAAGCATAGCTGTTATTAAAATTAGATTCTGCAAATAATTAATGGGATAAATTATGTTAAGTTAAAATCATAAAAACAATGTGAGGCTTTCTAATTACTGCTGCATGCCTTTGTCTATCATCTTAAGTTATTCATGTCTATTATATTTGCACTGAACACAATTTAACAACTGCATGATTTTTTTAAAAAAGATTTATTTATTTTTATTGGAAAGGCAAATTTATGGAGAGGAAAGACAGAAAGATCTTCCGTCCGTCCGCTGGCTTAATCTCCAAATGGCCAAAATGTCCAGAGCTAAGTTGACCAGAAGCTAGGAGCCAGGAACCTCTTCTGGGCCTCCCATGTGGGTACAGGATCCCAAGACTTTGGGCTGTCATCAACTGCTTTCCCAAGCCACAAACAGGGAGCTGGAAGGGAAATGGAGCAGCTGGGACATGAATAGGTGCCCACATGAGACCCTGGTACATGCAAGGCAAGGATTCCAGCCTAGCTGCTGCTCCAGGTTCTACCAAGTACATGTTTAAGGCAACATTACGGTTATTGTCTGAAATGTGCTTGGATATCAGTTATTTATGCCATGGGAATTAGAAAACCTTATAAACCATATGTCACTTTTTTTTTGCTAGCCTTTTCTCAAGAGGGGAGCAAAGAAAAAAAAGTTTAAATCATCAGTACACCACTGCAGACACACTCTGTTGATAGCTTTTTGCCTTTGTAAATGCTCTCTCTTCTACTTGGAATGCCTTGCACACTGACACACATAGGTATGTGCATACACACACACACACACACACACACACACACACTGGTGCATACACATGGGAACATGCAAATACACACAGGTTCCACCCATTAAATACCACTTTATTAATTTAATTAGTCATGCCTTTCTGAAGTCTTCTTAGGCCTCCCAGAAAGAGTTCATCTCTGTTCTTTTAGCAAATTATATAAAGAATTACTTATTTAGAAGACAAGGCAGAGTCATAGACAAACACTCACACATATATAAACACAGACACAGATACAGAGAAAGCGAGAGAGAGACAGAGACAGAGAGAACTTCCATCTGTTAGTTCACTCCCTAAATGTGCACCATGGCTGAGCTGGGCCAAGCTGAAGCAAAGAATTTGGAACTCATATGAGTCTCCAAAGTAGGTGGCAAGGGTACAGTTGCTTTTCCAGGCACATTAGCAGGGAGCAGGACCACAAGCAGAGCAGCCAGGACTCAAAGTGACCCTCTGATGTGTGATGTTCAAATTGTGAGCTGATGCTTAAAGCACTTGCTGAAAATGCCAGTGTCTCCCTTTGATTCAGTTGTATAATCTGATTATTTTTATTTCAGCATCTATTATTATTTACCATAATTGAATGGGAGATTAAGACAATAGAGCAAGTAAGTGATGGCATTTTGTGAAACCACGAAGTGGCACTGCCATGTAGTGGGGGGAAAATCATGAATATAGCTAAAAGCCTGTAAACAAACCAATTACATATGGTTAGTGGACATCGAAGTTAATTCAGTTAGCAGAAGGAAAAATGTAATACATGGGATAGTTTGGAAGCAGTCCTAAACAGGATTTCAGTTTGGGATATGCTAAATTTGATGTGCTGTGAAAGGGCATGATATGAAAAATTATTTAGCCATGAGTATGATATTAGTACTGATAATGAGAAGGAAATTCCAGTCATCTGAAATGAACAACAATCATAATCAGTCATGTGAGGGTATAAGTTGTACTTTCTACTCAGTAAAAGTATCCAAGGAAGCAATCAACTGTGGATCTGGAACTCAAGAGAATTTGAGAATGGAAATGTAGGTTTCCTTTACTCAAAGATGACGCTGGTGCTTTAAGTGTAAATGATATCATCCATAAAATATTTTGAAAGGAAAATAAATGGAGGAATCCTAGAGAATAGGTAAGAATGACAGAAATGAAAATAGCATATAAAAATGAAATGGTTAAATTTTTGTGTGGTGTGGGTGACAAATTATCTTGTTTATACTTCAAATTACATATTTTTCCCTTATGTTATAGCTGTTATATATACTAAGAAGTTTCTACAAAATATTATGTTAGTTCGTATAGTAACAAGGCACTATGGATTATGTGGCTTAAATAAACATTTGTTTTTTCATATATTTAGAGGCTAGAAATATGAAATCTGTCAGAATTGCCAAATATTGGTGAGAGTTCACTGATCGATTTCTTACTGTGTCTTCACATCGTGGGGAGTGATATAGGGAGAAATGCTTTCCAGAAATATTTATCCACTTTATAGAGCTGTACCATTAATACTGCATTAGTTCCCGAAGACTATCTCCAATGCTAGTGCACTGGGAATTAGACTTTAATCTGTGAATTTACGGGAGTTATCCTCAGTCCACTGAAATTTGGAGATATGAACCTTTGCGCAGTGATCAGAGCTACTATTGGTTAGATTTATCAATCAGCTAGGGTTAAAGGCATGGTGAAACTGAAAATGAAGATAACACAGTGAGGCTAATAGTTGAATGGCAGAGCAGGCTGTCTGGCTCAAGTATAAGAAAAGAGAATAGACGTCTGGGGATAAAAAGTTGCCTGTGGTGTGTCCTTAGAGGGCTTTACTGTTATTCTGTTTCTCAAACTTGATAATAGGAGCAATTTTGAGTTGATGAGCTAGCATTTGCATTTGAACAGTGAGAGTTGTTCTAGTTCTATTACTCAAGGAGTTCCTGAGGAAGCTAAGTCTTCCAGAGTCCATATGGTCTGGAAAAGAACACCATGCTCAAATATGTGTGGGTCAGCAAACTGCTGTTTCTTTTTTATCTCCTTCCAATTCTGAACGGATGCTTAATCATTTGCCCCATTATTGCAAATGTTACAATAATAATTATAGGCAGTTCTTTGCTTCCTATAGCAGCAAATCTGAATCCTGCCAGTTGACATCCAGATACATGCGTGGCTTTTGTAACCCCTCTCTGCTGCCTAATTGTCTCACGTTATATCAACAGCTTTGCTAAGTCTCAGTCTGTGATTACCAAATGGACACGTTGTGTTGTTCCCTGCTGCCATGTTCTTTGTTACGTTATTTATTTCACTGAAAATTTCCTTCCAATGTCTGTTTTTCCTATCCAAGCTATGTAGAGTCCATGAGACTTAAATTCATATAATTCAGATCACGTGCTTAGATGTTTTAAAGAATTAAGTTGTTTTATTCATTGATTTTAGTAATTTCCCTTTTAGTAGCATTTCCTACAGAATTAAAATGCTGGTATGTGTGAATTTATGTGTAAGAATATTTACTGTGAA